ACTTTGATTAAATTTTGTGAAATAAAAATTTTATTGTAGTATACTGTAAAGATTTCATGGACCTGATGAGCTACAATATGGCCCCCTTTAGAATAACATCATATAAATTGAGGTAGTTTGGCATTTCGTCAACTCCGTCAGATGTCAACTCCATCAGAGTTTTTGTGACTCTTTCAGTGAAATTGTTGTCAAATCTCACTTAAATGTGCAATTAATTTAATTTAATGTATTTTACATAAATTGCATTACTTCACATGTATCAAGTATTTATTTTTATTCACTAGTTTGTCACCACCTTCAGTTCTGTGTCAACTCCGTCATGTACTGTCAACTCCGTCAGATGGCCTTTTTGTTGTTTTTTGTTTTAAATAATATTTCTTTTGTTTCTTGAGAAGCATTTGTCTGTAAAACTGAGTAAAAATATAGGCTCATTAAAAATAATTTTAAATTTGTTTTTGTCTGACGGTGTTGACAAAGTTCTGAGTCAAGTCCATTAAAATTGTAATTTTCAAAATTGCTGCAACTGGGAGCCTGCACTCTAACATCTTTACATTTCCAAGCAAAGAAATCACTGGGACTAATATCACTATTCAAATTTGTTTTTATTAATAACTTCACTTACTTAATGCTTACTGCTGCAGCAATTTTAATGTATACAATTATACAATTTAATACAACAACCTTGTATATTCTAGAACCATCTGCCGGAATACACAGCTTAGGCAGTCAGTGTTTACTGTAACAGCAGGCAGCGACTGTAACTCGGAGAGTACTCATTTTGCAATTGGAAAGATGATGGCTGAAGTCCAATTTCCTATGAAACCGCGTTCAGTTTCCCACTGATGTGTATATAAGTGTCTGAATGTATCTATCTTTATGACATAGAAAGTACTCCTGGATCAGTGGTTGTGTGTCTTTCTGTGCCTTCTCAAACACCCAGTCGGCCAAGGAAGATGGCCGTTTATGTTGAGCCAGGTCCTGGCTCTGCTGGAGGTTTTTTCTTATTAAAATGAAACTTTTCCTTTCTTTCTTTTTACTGCATGCATGCTCAGTATGATGAATAATTGCAAACTCAACCCAATGTAATCTGCTGGGTGTCTTTAATTCTTTTTCCTACACATTTTTAGAATAAACAGAACTAGACTGTGTTGCTATCAAATACAAATAAATCAAATAAAGTTTAAGAAAAATAGGAAAAAATATATTCACCAGTATGGAGGAGACAATAAGGGATCGATTGGACAATGAATCTGAGACATTAGTTGTCTTTCCCTTCTGATTGTCAGTCATATTGAGGCCACTTGCTGGATCCCAGGTACCAATCTGTAAAAGAAAAAAAAACATTGTCCTAGCATGAAGTATCTTATGCAGGAAGGCTTAAGAATAATCAGTAACCCATTTTGAAACTTATCACCTTCACTTTCACTTAAACCGTAAGATTCAAGTTTTTTTTTCATAAAATGAAAGCAGGGAATCAAGTAAAGAATATTTTGTGTGACATTCAGTCGAGCATAAAATAATCAATCCACTTGATTTCTATAGCACATTTCAAAAACCACAAAGGTAACCAAAGTGCTTTACATTAGAAATGTGTAAGAAACATACACAGATACAGAAATAACATGTTAAGAGAACAGAAACAGAAACACTGTCCCCACAGTGGGAAAATTCAGGTCCAACAGCAGTATGTAGGTACACCCAAATATACCGCTCAAGATTATAGTATGCTGGGTCTCTATAGTATTTTTACTTCACCATCAGTGGAACCTTTAAATTTGACAGAAACTTTTATGTAAATTTTTATTCAATGCAACTATTTCTTTGTTTACTTAGAAAAAAGGCATGAAATGAAAGATAAAACTAATTCCAGTTTTTGTAAGTTTACCTTACAGATTATACGACTGTGATAGTAACTTTACCATCTTTCCCTTTCGGTTCAACACAAAGATTATCTGTACGGCATCCTGGGGAAACAGTTGACAGTAATCTGACCCCTCAACCCTTTCATGGCTGTTTTCTTCTTGACACCCACAGGGACCAATGTTACATCTGATCTAAGATTCTGATCTGCCTCATGGCCTTTTGAGGTACTGACCAGTGGGAGCTGAAAAAGGGAGGAGGAACGTACATGGCAGAGAAGCAAAGTGGAAGAGGACACAGCAAAGATCAGATTATGCCTCAAGTCTTTTCATGTTTCAACTCTTACTTTAGGTGTGTAAAGGCAAGTCTCCTAAACATCATCCCCTGCTCTTCATCCAGCTTCTCAACCCAAAGCATCACTAGAGAGGACCACAGACACTCCAACCCTCAGCAGCCGCACACTCCTCAAGGAACCTATGATAATCTGAGTGAGTGCTTGAGATAGTCTTTGGAATTGCAAATCAACCCTTTAATTCAAGTTTCATGAGACTGGAGGGCTTTTGAATGAGTTTTTATTAATGGAATAAATTATTCATGGAGGTGCCAGAACACACACTACATTGACCAAAGGTCAGAAGATGCTGAGAGGAATGCGCCAGTGAGAATAATGAAGTTGAAAGTGCTTGCAGTTCCATGAGTGAATATTATTTGTATCAGCAACATTAGTTGGTTCTTCTCTTGTTCATAATCTTGTAAATCTCTGAGTGGAGAACAATGTAGTTGTGCTATTCTGAGGATGCTTCTCTCCATCTGAGAACACCAACATAGTTGAGCAAATGCCATATTGGAGTTTAGATCTATAGCCTGAGCCTGACTTGAAATTTGGACTGAGTCGGGCCACAATTATATGGATGATGATCAGGTTGGCCTCTAGCTTCTGTGGTGGTTTTTTATAAGCCTACTATACATACAGAACGGAGAAAACTAAATGAAAATGTGTGATATAAATCTATCCCAATCTGCTTATTCCAATCTAAACAGAAGAGTAGGCAGCTTATCCTGGTGAGGAAAGAAATAAAGTAAGGTGCAGAAGTTAATCAGCCTTAATGAGCTCAAACTGCTTTCTTATTGTATGTTGGAGCTGCTCTGTGGTGGCTCATGCCACCACACGCCTCCTGCACTCCAAAAGACCCCAGCATCTTCAGCAGGTAGAGTCAGCTCTGACCTTTCATATAAAGAGCATCAGAGTCATTACTCATGACTCTGATGCTTAGTGTTCATGGAGAACAATAAGCTGGTAATGCCACAGCAACAGAGGCATGAACAGCTTGAGATACTTGTTACAAACTACAAATCACTGCATTTGCCATACAGAGTAATGTCCCTCATAAAAGTAGAGCTTGAAAGCTTAAGTCAAGGCAACAAGGAGCATTATAAGTCTGCCATCAAAATTGTCACAACAATACAAAGATGCAGTGAAGAAAGGATAACCCAGGAAACACTGGTACCTAACCAAAAAATGGGTCTGTGGAGCCTTCCCAGCAACCTCAAGGTCCCAACTTAAGAGATACATTAGAGAAGTGGATTATTAGAGAATGTAGTTTTGAATATGATTTTGCAAGGATCTTTCCATCTTACGACACTGTTGGAACTCTTTAGCAGCTAAAGTTGAACACAAAGATCAATCATGTCATAGTTAACATGCTGAATTGTAAGTAGTGGTGTCGAGGAATTCAATTTGAAGTGTCAGTCATTTGTCAAATATTAAAACATGTATAACTAGGATGTAGCAATTACAATTAGCTCAGGGACCAGGTCAACATTGGTCCACAGACGTTTTTTGAGTCAACTCTAAGTCAACTTATCAAATATGTTTTAACCAGGGTTTGTACATTTTACGTGTGGCTTGAAGCCTCCAATTATTTCAACATTACTAGTCTTACAGGAGCAAATTAGATCTTAACAGAAATTAAACCAGGTGTTAAGAGAGGAAAAATTCTTGGACTTTAAAAACCTTTTGACTCGTTATATCCTCTCTA